AAGTGCCTCTTCATTCACCCATGGTGCCAGAAGGGCTCAGCATGGCTTTGTGAGTCTCCTGCCTCACAAGGGAGAATCTCACAGTGGTCAAAAGCCCATCACCTGCTGACCGCGCCCAGCCTCCTCCTTTGTGTGCACTGGGAGCTTCTTCCTTTGAAGAGAAGCACTCTCAGGTGGTTCAGCCAAACAAATAAGGACTGTTCCATTTTAAGTTTGCACAAAGTTGATTTTAATATAATTTATCTGTCTCTATTAAAGTTAATAAGAACTTCATCAATGACTTCAGCACAGTCAGGACTTTGCAAACTATCTTTAAGTAATGTATTAGCCATTAGTTATTAGAATTTAAAATATTTTAAATAAACTCTGTATTAAATAAGATTGTTGATGTATGATACCTTACACTCTGTATATCTTATGGAAATCTTGGCACTACTGAAGCAGACAGCAGAACTCACACTGATGCCTGTGGGGCCAACATTTCACCACCAATTTCTTTTCCCAAATCTGCCAAGAGTTTTCAGTGATTCTGAAAAAATCAGAACCTCAGCATTACTTACTGTGTAAGCCTGGGAATCATTTTTCTCTAGGGTACAGCAGTATTGTAGCACCCTTGATATCTGGAAAATGCAGGTTCAAACTGCTGTATCTGAGCTAATTAATGACTATTGCTTATCATTTTCATGCTGCAAATGCCTTATTCTGAAGGCAGGAATGGCAATACCTACAAGGATAGTTACTCAACAGTTTCTGCTGTAAAATCCTATTTTCTGTTGTGTTGCCAGAACTTAGCCATTCAAGTAGCACATACCAGACAACTGCCTTAATTTTAACTATTGTGGTTTTTTATTTATTTTGAAGTTTCCAACAGTGAGATAAGAACTCATAGTAAAATAACCAGACCTCTGAAAACTGGTGCCTGTGAGCAGCTCCAGCTTTCATGTAGACTGAAATTTGGCAGAGAACAGACTAAATCGGGTGAAATCTTTCACTTTTCTCAAGACAACCTGTCCAGATTTCTTTCACATTATAAACATTAAACAATTGTACACGGACAGTGTTTACTAGCACACGGTGTTTACTAGTGCATGGTATTTGATAACTGAAACATCCAAAAATTCAATGAGCACACAGCAGAGCCTGAGTGGGCTTGGACTCCACCTGCTTCGTGCCAACAGGAGCAGGAGAAGCCACCGTGTCCCTGTAAATGCTCCTTTTGTCGGTCAGTGAGAGACAGGACATTGAACGCAACCACAGCCTGGAGGGAAAAAGCTGCATGTTTCAAACACAGAAAAAGCAAAATGTGGGCAGAGGTGAAGACCTGAAGGGGCCAAATGAAGGAAGAAGAAGCAACAAGAGAGATCTGCAAGGATGTGTGAAGGCACACAGGAGTTTGCCCCCGCTGGCAGCTGTGCCCGGCTGGGAGGTGCTGCCACACACACCTACGAGCACGGGGTGGTTTGGGTTGGAAGGGATCCTACAGACCATCTCGATCCAACCTCCCTACACCTTCCCCAGCGAAGCCGGGTCCGACCCCACCACGCCGGGCCCGGGGTTCGGGGGCGGGGCCCGGAGCTCGGGGCGGGGCACGGAGCCTTTCGGGGGCGGGGCCGGAGCTCGGGGGCGGGGCCCGCTCCATGAGGCTTCCGCCCCGAGCCCGCGCCTGCGCTTCGCGGCTGGACTGCGGCTCCCGCCGCGTGCGCGCGGGCGGCAGGCCGCGGTCGGCTGAGGGAGCTGGTCCGGCGCGCCCGGTGAGCGGGGAGCGGCCCGCGGGACGGACGGGACGGGACGGGACGGGAACGGGGCGGTGGTTGCTGCGGCCGCAGGGTGCCGGGAGGGCCCCGGGCGACACGCGCTGCCGTCCGCCGCTAACCCGCGGCGCGGTGGGAGGCGCGGCGGGAGGGGCCGCGCCCGCGCCGGGAAGGAAGGAAAGACGGGGCTTTGTGGCGGCCCGCCCCCGCGGCCCCCGGCGGACACGGACCCCCGCTGGTGTTCGGAGGTCGGGGCTGGGGCAGGGCTTGGCAGCTGCCACGGGGTCGGTGGGCTGGGGCGTGAGAGGAGCTGGGCGGGGGGCGTGCCGGTGAGGGGGTGAGTGTTTGTTTAGCCGGCTCCCGACTTTGCCGCGGAACCCGAAAATGTGGCTTTGAAAGCTTCGCCTGTGGGTCTGGTCGGCGTAACCCTCGCAGTTCGCTCCATGTGTTTTGCCCCGGTTGCCCGGCGCTCGCTGACGGAGGGATGCCTTTCCGGGGCGGGGTGCGCTCCCTGCACCGGCTGCGGCCCCGGGCGGGGGGTGGCCGCTCCCGGCGGCGCTCGGCCTGTCCCGGCTGCGGGCACGGAGCGCTCGGAGGGCTGTTCCCAGCGCCTGTCAGCCCGTCTCTTTGTGGGTAGGCGCAGGTTGTGTTGAAAGTAATCGATGTTCTAGAGAGGTTGCTGTGTGCTTTGAGTTTGCTATAATGTACTGAATCAGTTAAAGTTTGGGGACTGTGTCAGGCGTACAGACCGTGATGTAAGGGAGAACCTGAAACTGGTTCGTACTCAGAAGTTTTCCTGAAGTAACATAATGGGAATGAAGTTAATTTCTTCTGCTGTCCTGTTCCAGGCTTGCAAGTTTCTCCACTTTTCTGCAGTAGATAGGAATATCTGAATGTTTCTATAAGCTTTCAGATAGCTTGCACCTGATGTTTCTTTTTGACTAAAACACCTGCAGGCAGTTCCTCCAGGAGGAGATACTGTGTATTAATGTCCATGGGCAGTAGATCTCTAATGAACATCCAGGTATTGTCTGAAAAAAAACGATGCCAAAACATCCCTCATCCTGGATGGTCAATAACTCCTGACTCAGTGTCGCTGCCCTGCATGTTGGGAGAGGGAATGGACAGCTGGAGTGGCGATTTCTGCCAGAGGAACTTCTCAGGGCAGGCAGTATCTGTGGTACCTGGGGTTTTTACCTTATCCTGGCCTTGTGTTTATTTAGGATCATAACAGCTGCCCTGCAGCAAGTTTGATGAGCGTGCCTGGAAGTGCCATGGAGATGGGTGTGCTGAACTGCTGCCACTTCCATGCCCTGTGCAGCTTGCCAAGTACAGGCTTCAGGGCTCCTGGCCCTGTCACCCTCGCCACTGCCTGGGCTGGGTGGGCATGTTCATTTAGCCCTGCAGTGTGGGTGACTGCTTTTCAAAAACAGGCACACAGGAGTAAGTTTTTATGGGACAATGCCAGCTTGACAGCTTAGCCATGAGTCAGAGCAACCTACCTGCAAGTTAACTGTGCCTTAGTACAGTGTCGTTGTATACAGGACATATAGAAGAGCAAAATGGGCCTTGTCTGGTTCCAGGTGGCCTCTGATACAGAGGAGGAGCTGGCAGGAAGTGCAAACACAGATGTGTTAAGATTTCCTTCAGCATGAAAGCATCTTTGTGGTCCATGTAGCTCCTCTGCAGTAGCTGTCTATCCCCATCCACTCCTCGGGTCACCTCGAGGACAAATGTGAAGTTGGGGAAGCCCAGTTTGCCATGTGTAAATCTTAGTGAATTGTCTCTGTGAACAGAATGAAGCCTCGGGCTTGCTTTTCTAGGAAAATAGCCCAGAATAGCTATTCCTTTCTGCCTGGAAAATACAATTTACCCTGACGAAAAGCTTAGGCAAAGATGAGCTGCCACCTGCTGGCTCCAGAAGGCTTTGGGCTGGGGGTTGTTTGCTGGATCCCTGAGCAGGAGAACCTGGATCCTGTGCCCTACCCCAGGCTGGAGTTTTGGGAGGCTCAGGTGGTTTTTTGAGAGCTTTCTGCTAAGAAAAGCAGCATTGGGCTGTTCAGCAGAGTTATCATAAGGGCATTAGAAAAACATCCTAAGGAACTTTCTGGGATTACGGTAATATTTATATCTACTAATTTTTCTCCTAGCTTTGGTAAGTAAAGATAGCTCTTTCAAGTGCAGCACATTCTTCACAAACAGTTCTGTATAATCTCACACACTGGAAAATAAAATTGTTGCCATCCTCGGGGTTCCCTGGGGAAATGCTCAGATTAGGCTCCTCCAAGGAGCTGGGATGGTCTGGGGCCCTGAGTGGTGCAGGAATGCTGACAGCCCTGTGGACCCCCCTGCTCTGGGCAGGGTTCACGCAGAGGCTGGGGGGAAGGAGGCTGGGGAGGAACAAATGAGATTAAAGTGAACTCTGTGAATGTGCTGGCCAAAACCAGCTCGGTTTGTTTTTCGTGATGTCGCTTCTATTTTAAAATCCAAGTCACGGAAACCATTTGCAGTGGACTTTAACAACCCTGGAGTTTCCTGTGGGCAATTTGTTTCTAAAGAGTTTCTCCTGTTAAGGTCCAAAGAAATCGTGTTCTTAAATATAATAGAAATTGGGGGGAGTGGGAGTTTTTAAAAGATAATTGGAAGCTTGCTATTTTTAGAATCTTTTGGTTTTTAAAACTATACTTTCGGAGAGGAGAAAACAAAAATATTTTAACTTATAGATAAGAGGTGTATAGAAGTTGCTTGACAGTCTTTCAGGGGATGATTCAGGTAATTATAAAATGGCCTAAATTAAAGTTACTGCTGTTTTCTTATTTCTTTAGTTCTTCATTGACTTCTCAGGTGAAGGAATAATGACAAGATTTTTGTCTCTGTGATGTCCAACAGAATTTCTTCATTTTTGGTTTTTCAAGTTGTCTTCTGCATAACAAACAGAGAATTGAAATTTGATGGACTGGAAGTGATGGCTTTGTTTCCATTTCCCTGAATGTTTCTTATGTGACTATGAAGTTGCTGAAGAAATTCCCCTTATACTTATATATCTGAAAAAGCCCTTTGGACTTTTAATATATGTAATGTTTTCATGGTAAAGCTGAGAAGGATACTTAGAAGAAAACTAGCTTGGCTCATCAAAAAAGGGCAAAGTATTTGCAAAGCCAAAATTGAGGGTTACAGTTTTGCCTGTGACTCTGCAGTAAGATCACACACATATATATAATGTGCCACAGGCCAAGTAACTGCTCTTTCTAAAAACTTGTAGTTTGTTCCTCATGTCTCTATGCAGAACTGCTGCAGTGAGTGGTGGAAAACAAACAGAGTACCAACTGTGTTTAATGGGTGGTGAAGGGCTTGTCTGATTAGATTAGGGCTTCAGCTGGCTTTTATACCCTTTTATGCAATGAGAATTCCTAACACCATGTTTTAAAACCCGATTTTTAGTATGTTATATGCTAGTGTTTTATATGCTGTGATTTCTTTTGTAGGGAATGTTTCTGAAAGTCATTACCCAGCAACCTCTGTGTAGTGCAGATGTGCTAGTCAATGCTGCCATCATAAAGTTTTAAAGGTTTGTCACATTGTGTGCTTTCATATTAAAAAAAAACATTACCTTTGATAGGTATTAAAAAATATGTTCAAAGCATGCATTTATATTTGGCAGGCCACATGTAGTTCTCTTCCTCTTGGTGAAGTGAAGACTCAGCTACAGAGAGATAGGGCTTTTTGTTCTGCTTCTTTATTTTTCATTTTGTGTGTGTGTGTCTGAACACTGTAGCTAAGGATTTGAAATGGCTACTTTGGTCTTATTACAGAAACAAGTGAGACCAAGGGCTGTGACCTGAACATTAATTAATGTATTACAAAAGATGAGTAGTTTTCCCATATGAAACATACCAGTGCAATAAATAAAAGGTAATTAATTCTGGATGGCAGCATTTTACAGCAATTAATGGAGAGGAAATACAGGCTACGTGAAGTAATGTATGGTTATGCAGTGCTGCTCTCTGTCAGAGTAAGGGCAGCATTATTCTGCAGCCTACTAACCATTCTGCTCTCTGTAATTACCTGTTAAGACTACACCTTTTAATATTTGAATGCAAATGGACATGCAGAAATGTGGTAAATAGCAAAGTCTTGATGTAGGGCTCAGACAGTGCAGCCTGGTCACAAACAATGCTGTGTAATCAGCTGCAGGAAATGTTTTCTCTTATGATAGTGTGTAATGGCTTGAACTGTCAGGAAGGGCAAAACATTAAGGCTCTAGGAATGAAAAGTTCTCATGCAGATTGTGTGGCATCTGCTGTCATCAGCTAATTGTCCATCAGCTGCTGTGCACCTGGAGAAACAAAGGCATTAGACTATTACCACTAGACTATGGAGAATTGTGGGAGGTGGCTCTCTTGGCCACACAGACACTCCTGAGTTACTTTTGGAACTTAGGAAAACATTGGTGTGCTGCTCTCTGCATTTTCTGCAGCCACCAAACTCGGATGCTCCTACCTCTGTAGCCTCTTGCAAAAGGTCCAGGCTCTTCCAACATGATTGGGTTTAGTTTGGAGGAAGCCAGACGGTGTTCTTTTTGATGGAATTTACTGTGAAATTGGGAATTCCTCCTGGTTTTTGTTATGTTCAAGAGAACTCTGTCTAAGCTGGTAGTTCAGCTTTGGAATTGTGTTCCATCGATGTCAGCTGTAGTTTACAAGTAAGCTCTAGTATTTATACCAGCAATATTTTTTAAAAAGAAGACATACTGAAAATAGCTGTAAATATATTCCTCATTCAGCTGTAGGTGTCGGTAGGGACTGAAAATTTACCGTTCTGGCAATGGCAATTGTTCAAACTAGATTTACTTTACAGGTACACTTGGCTGAATGGTGTGGATGAAGCTTTATGTGCTCATGTCTGTTTAGTGTCTCTGAATTAAAATGTCACTTTATGTAACTGTGGCAGCCAGGGAGACCTTCCTTGGTGTAAACAACTGAAGTGAAGGAATCCTCTAAGCAAGATTCCATGGTACAGTGTGTATGTATATACAGTCCTTCTTTTCGTTTTACTTAAGAGACAAAAGCTACATTGACCTGTTTTTGAAGGACATTGTAAGTGCAGGTTTGAAGTAATGCAGTTGTGTATGTGGTGTGAGCATCTGACCTGGAATGGGGCTACTGGAGAAGAAATAACATTTGCTTTGTGTCTGGTCTGTGTTGAGTATTTCTGTGGAGCCAAGAAAGCATTTAAGGAGACTAATGAGCCTGAATGTATGGATTTAGCTTTTGCTCCCCCAATACCTTATGGACTCTCTTGCTTACCTACAGAGAGTCATTCAAGTTACCTTCTTTTGTCTGTGTGCTCAGTCAACTTGAAGCAGGAGTGTGGCTGAACAAAATGAGAATCCTGTAACTTCTTTCAGAAAAACGAGAGGAAACAACTTGTCTGCTTCAACGCTGCTGGGATTAACTGTTTTTTTCCAAGACAAATGCTAAAAAATTCTGACGTTAAAAAAAAGGTTCCTTGCACTCTGCTTGTCCAGGAGAAGTGCTGTATAGACTGTACATCTTTTGAAGGACCCTGATTTTGTCCAAGTATAATATTTAGAGAGCAGTTACACAGTCTGTCTTTACTTTTAATTTTAAAAAAAAAAAAATTTTTTTTTTTTGTAGGATTGACTGGAGTGCTGCTGCTTAGGAGCTGTATTTCCTGCGCTTTTCATCAAGGTATTTTGATTTTCCTTGTACAGAACAGAATGTTGCTTCAATGGTAGTTCTATAATTAACTCGGAGGCAAACTTCCTCTGTTTCCTCTGTAGGTAATATGCAGGGATATGAGTCAGTAATAACCAATTAGCTTGTTTATAGAGTTCTCCTTAACTGCCCTCAACTGCAGCAGCAACAATAAATGAGGAGCATCTTAACTCTTCTTTTGGCTGCATTATCTGCAATCAAAATAACCATCTGCATAAAAGCCACTGGTGTTAACTGGATTCATAAATACTAGGTATAGTTGGTATCTCCTCCCTCCTATCCTACAGCCTGCCCTGCTCTGTGGGAATTATGGCCTTGGAGTTCTCGTTGAGAAGACTGGGAACTGACTTTCATCTGGCAGTAGATGTGGCTTGGTTACTGATGGAAAAGGGCAAGGCAGGACAGGATTCTCCTCAGTGGAGAAGGAAGGTGTACACAGCTTCCATGTGCTCCTTGGCTGCTGTAGGGTAACAGATATGACTACTGGATGAAAAGCTTTCCTTTCAGAGATGTATTTGGAGGTTGAAGATGCTTTGTAACTGGGATATTTACCTTAACTATGGTTATTTGTTTTTAAACATTTTTTTCATAGATCTGGTTAAGAATTAAGAGTTGGACTTTGAAGTATTTGAGCAACTTGCTACGGCCCAAGTCATGACGCTCCCATTTCGAAAGGACTTGGACAAGTACAAAGATCTCGATGAGGATGAAATTCTTGGCAAACTTTCAGAAGAAGAACTGAAACAACTGGAAAATGTTTTGGATGATCTTGATCCTGAGGTAGGCATTAGCCAAAAGAAGTTTTATTTCTTTCATTTGTTCCATAACTTGGGTAAAATAAGTTGAGTCTTTGTATGACATACTTTTGGACAGAGCTTTTTCCTAGTCTGCTGGTGATCTTACATATATATACATGTGTATAATGTTTATTTCCTGTTTGCAAGGGACTGCAATAGAGGAGAATGGAAGAAAGGATAGTCATGAGGAGCTTTCTGGGCTTTATTTATAAATAAAAATTGCTCTTTGTCATGTTCTTGAAAAGAAAGTTTATTTAGAAAGGCTTGTTTAACTTTCCTGTTTCCAATAAACAGCCCTTTTGCATCCATTTTTATTTTACTGCTTCTACTGTTAGAGTTTGATGGGAGAGGCAGGGTGCTGACCTCTGCTGAAGATTCCTGGTCCTGTGTCTGGTAGTCTGTATCTGTCACTGTCCTCATGCTGACTTTGTAAAGAGAAAGCAAATAATTACTGAGCTCCTGAATGATTCTGTCAGCATGGGGTATTGAAATATTGGGATATTAGAGCTTTCTGCTATAATGAGCTGAGTTGTCCTCTACTGATACTGCAGCTAATGTCAGACTCCAAGACTTGTGTTTTCACCTAGTGGTTCTCTGTTTTTCCTTTAAGATTAAGTTCAATCTTGATGTTTAGGGATCAGTTAAGAATATTATGATCACCTATTTTGTTGTACTGCAAGATATTATTGATCTTTTAATTGCCTTTGGCTTTATGGGCATTTTAACAGGGGAGAACTGGCAAAAGAGATTGGTTGTCTTTTTTAAAAGAGTGTGAATTCCTATACATTCTGTTCTTTCCTTACTAATATCCTCTTTTTTTTTTCTCTTTAGTTAAAATATGTTCATCATATCAAAGAAACACCCCACTTTGAGTCAGGTCAAAAGGTAGCAATACTCTGTGTTAAATGCGAAACAATAGTAGAGTCAGTTGTCTTAAAGACTTAGAAACATATAAGTAAATGATAGAGGAAGTAGGCTTTTACTGAATGTCTAAACTGGAAATAGCTGAGTTTTATTTCCTACTGCTCATTTAAACAGTGCTCATTCTAGAAACGAAATTCAAATTAACTAGCAAATCGAGTGCTGGAAGTTATTGTAAAGAATTGCTTCAGTGCTATTCAGAGGGCAGTGTACTGTATTTTACATTGCATTCTCTGTGTCTAAAGAACAGGTTACGTTGTGTCCTCCCATGCCCCAAAAAAAGGAAGTTGGCAGGGGATCAGAGTTTGCCTGAAAAGGATGTCTCAGGTTTGAACCTTGCGGAGAGGGAGAAGGAAGAGGGAAATGAAACTAAGCAGGTGTTCCCCCAGACTTTCTAAGCTGTTCTTGTTTGCTCCATTTGTTTTGCAGAATGCTCTCCTGCCCGCAGGCTTCCGGCAGAAGGACCAGACTGCAAAGAAGGCCTCAGGTCCCTTCGACCGGGAGCGGCTCCTGGCGTACTTGGAGAAGCAGGCGCTCGAGCACAAAGACAGGGAGGACTATGTGCCTTTTACAAGAGAAAAGAAAGGTAACACCACCCTTTCCGGTGCAAGTGGTTATGAAATCCCTGAAGTGGACCAGCCAGAACTGCTGTGAACCAAATTTTATTGGAGCACTGGCAGCTCTAGTGCTTTTTAACTCGCGGTGTTCCCAAGCGAGTGCTGCTGTGCAGAGGCAGGAGGCTTCCTGTTCAGGCATTTTGTGCCTCTGGAGCTGGTGTGCTGTTTGTATGTAGCACAGGAAGGAAATAAGGCTCAAAGATTTTATCATGAATTGCCAAGTTCTGATGGGGATGGGATCCTCAAAGTAAGAGCTAACCCTGATTTGCGTCAATAATAACAAATGCTGTCATTGTGCCTGTGGCTTGTGCCTTGTGCTAAACACAGACAGCAGCCTTTGTAATACTGTGTTGAATTAGAAAAATAGCAGTTGAGCAGTGTCGTGGGAGACACAGTAATGTTCAAAGATGCTGTAGGCTGACAAGGCCAGACAAGTGGTGTATGCAGTCATGTTGTTTTTCTAGTGTCCTTACTGAAAGGTTTAATAAGATTGCATAGTTAGTACTAACTAATTACATATTTAACATCACAACAAGTTTTGAAATCTGGCAGTGGTTTGTGGTCTAAAAACCATGGACATGTTATTAAAGCCAGGGATTAGAAATTTTTGCTTTGGATCTGATATTCTCATTGACTTGATGGGAGCATTTGCCTTTCAAGAGAAAATTAAATAATAATGTGCTTCTTAAATATTGTAAGAATAACTTCATATTTTTCCCATAAAACAAGAGTTCCCAAATCTGCTGTGCCTTACAAAACAGTATTGGTAAGGACAGAAACTCCCAGAGCTGTGCTGGGTACATGTGCATAGGAGGAGGCCTTTAGCTGTCACCACAAGTGTTTGAGTGCTTATGAATCCGGGCTTGTCTGAACCTTCCCTAGCAGCAGGGGCAGATCTGCTGCACTAAGACTTCAGCAAATTGTTGCTAAGCTGTATTCCAGCTGCCCAAGATGAACAGGCTCCTCTTTTCTTAAGGGTTTGAAACCCTTTAATTCTACTTATGATTCTCTGACATGAATCATAGCTTATTTCAGATTTGAGTCTTCATTCATCTACTGAGTTTCTCTATAAGATAGCAGTGTATATTTGGTGAAAATTTTCTTGGGCATATTTGCATTTTCTCTGCCTGTGCCAGGTACTTGACAATGCTGGTGCCTTTCTACTTTTTCCTTGAAGTAATAGAGGGATTATGACTTTACAATGTGCTGCACTCTGTGTATGATGTACTACTTCCTTCATACGCTGTGTTTTACCTTAGTTTGAAGTTTAACACCACTTGTGTTGAGATAACTGTGACACTTCTTTGCTGACAGGATCTGTAAGAGTAACTGAGATAAGGATATTGCAACGTACTGAATGCAGAAGGTACTCATAGCAGCAGGTAGGGTGCCTTATGGTTCAGATAGGTGGTTCTCTACAGTCAGCTTACATATACATGCACAAGTATTTGTTTGGGTGGATAAAATCTGTGAGAATCGTGTAGAAAAACAGAAGGGACCAGCTGTAACGTAGATCTTGGTTAAGAAAGATCAAATGTCATTTCCTCTATGTAATAAAGTATTACTAAACAGCAGTGTGTCTGCATGTTGCAATGAGTCATACCAGTTTAGTTAGTAAAATTTCCTGTATCTCTTGGAAAAAAAAAAAAAGTTGCTGTTTAATAACTTTTTTCCACCATTTATTTTAATGCCATAGAAGAAGAGAAAATAATACGAAACATGGAATGGAGCTTACTTTCATTAAAACTAAAAATGTGGAAACAAATGTTTTGTGTGGAAATTCATGCTCTGGTAAATGGGCAGGAGGCAAGAAGGCCAAGCTCATTTTGTAGTAGGTGAGGGATAATCTTTTCTTTTCCCCTCATGGAAATATTATGGTTCAGCTGTGACTTGCTGCCATGTTTGTATCATTTTGCACAAAAATGGCAAATCTATGTAACTTAATCTTTTAAATCAAGAAATCATTATATTTATGTAGATTTAGAACTTGGAAAGAATATGAAGTAAAACTTAATACATGTGTAAGGTTTTTTTATGTAGAGGGAGCTTGTATCCTAATGTGCTTTTCTTTAATACTAAAAGAAAAAAATAACAAACAACTAGGCTGGATAATAATTTTTCTCTTTGACTAGAACAATGTATTATGGAGAAATGCTAAAAACATTGTAGAATAGGGGTAGGTGAAAATCTTGCCTGATTCTCCTGTCAATTGAGAAGAAAACTGACAAATGCATCCTTCAGTTCCAGAGATTTTGGGAGGAGAGAGATGGATTTGAACTGCAGGTATTTTCTTGGTGCCATTTTTTGGGTCAGGATTTGCTAAAACATTTCTGTGTACCTGGCTGGTCTTGTTGCTCTAACTTGGCCTAATTATTCATTTCATGGAGTAAGAAGGGGCAAATCTATCCTTCTCTCTCCCTATTCTATTTTAGTAGAACTGATGTCCTGCATGGTGATTTGACCAGCAGATTTATCCAAGAAGCTTATCCTGGGTTAATTTTAGCCATCCTGGCTTGCTGCCGATCCTGGTAACCTTGTTTTCCTACTACAGTGTAAAGGGAAATCCTCTCTTCCAGGTGTCCCAAGTACCTCATTTTGGGGTAAGCATGTTATTAAAGCACTGTTGCATCTCTTTCAGTGATAGAGGATGTGATTTCTCCCAAGTCTTTGGAACCTCTCTTTTATTTTGTGCTATGAAATGTAGAAGATCTGAAATAATGTAAAGCGTCCTCCTGTAGTGAGATGAACAGTGCTAAAGTAATGTGAAGTTTAACAATCCCTAAATGATATCCTATTCCATTTTTCCAGTGCCTGATTTTGTTTCTAAAAGTGTCAGTAAAAATTTACTTTGTTTTTAAACATGATTTAATGATTTAAGTCACATTCTGTTCCAATTAAGTGTTGAACCATACAGTAAAGCATTGTTCAACAGATTCATGAGAGCAATGTGGTAATAATTGCAACAAAACTAGCTTTGTCTTAATCTGTGCATGGAAGTATGTCATAAAGATTTTACAAGGCATACTGCAAGCAGAAGGATCTCTCATGCAAACAGTAAAGGCTTTAGTGCTGGAGACTGTTGCCCCTGAAAGTGTTCCACTTGTCTGACCAGTGCTCCCCACTTCTCTAGGAACAGCAAAACAACTGAATTATTGCACCTGAGATAAAAACATATCTAAGATCAGTCATGTACTTTGTGCTGTATAATGGAAGGCATTAGCAAAGTATTATGTAAACTAAACTTTGCATTTCTAGCCTTTGCACTTTCCTAATTGTAGCCTATTCTTCCAACTTTCCCTTTTTATTCCTGCCAGGTATGTTTGTTCTGGGTAAATTGGCAGGATTCAATGATCTCAGAGGTTTTTTCCAACCTAGCTGATTCTGTGATTCTCTGATTCTGCTTTAATGCTTGGGGCTTGTTGAAGTTTGAGGGGTTTGTTTGTTTGTTTTTTGTTTTGTTTTGATTTGTCTGTATCACCCAGAAAGTGTTGTTAGGCTCAAACTGTGGCTGACTAGAGCTCTTTTGTTGCCACCCTGCTCAGTTTGTTGCTCAGAATCACCACTGCCTTCTGCTGCAACAGGATTTGGGATGCTGTGTTCTCTGTTTGCCACTGAATCCCTGCTCTTTAAAGAAGTGTGTTACATGTTGTGAAGTAAAGCTAATATCCTGTAGGAGCTTTGCAGAAAGAGCTTGTGGGATTGACATTCTCCATACAAGAGCACTAGAACAAAGTAACATATGATACTCCAACCTTAATGTAAAACAGTTTTCTAACTCACTGCTCTGTGGTCTGTAATCAGATAATGAATAACAGTTCTGTTTCTGCAGTAAGATACTGAGGAAGTCACTTGTATGTTGAATTTAAAAAAATTAGTATTAAATTGTGCTCACAATTTAATGAACTTAAGTCTCTCACATAGTAAGAATTGGAGATGGATGAAGTGTGGATTATACAGATTTCTGAACTGAGGAGACTTTAAGGAACATAAGATGTAAGGAATATATCAGATGTTACTTTTCTTCATGAAGCCACTGATGAGAAAAACTTGTATTCAGTTGTCCTGAGGTAACACTTGATTCATTTCCACAAATGGAGTACTGTAAAAGAGGATTTTAGACTTTCTTCTGCTGTGTAAAGTGTGGCTGCTTGCTGGAATGGGGGAAGGACTGTGGGATGTGTGAGAATAGTACCAGCAATATGCAGTGGTGGCCCCATTGAACAGCCCTGATTTCTGCAACATGTTGAGCCCCACCTTGGATACTGTGAGTCTGTGTATGAAATGTCCAGGGCACTTCAACAAACAGCATCCAGTGTTCCTGCCTTTTGAGCAATACAGTTGTGTGGAACGTGGGACTGCAAATTTATTCTGTAGCAGATAAAGCCTGTGACTTAATCCTGGGATGTGCGTCATCTAACATTTTAGCTTAAAGGCATAGAAGACCTGAATATATAATTATTACAAAAATGATGTGAACATCTCTGAAATTTGCCTCTTTGTGTTGTATTGCTTAATCTTTGCAATATCCTTGTCAGCTGAGAAGGAGGATGTCATGTTCCTTCATGTAATCAAATCCCTGCTATTTGGAAGTGTTCCACTTGAGGGCCAGGAAAGCTGTACATCTCATGGGCTGCACAGATGTGTAGTGGTTTCTGGTTTTTTTTTATTTAAAGCTTGCATTAGTGAGGGAGGAAGGGAATTGCCAAACTATCTTGGCAGCAGGCCTTGAGTTAGATCATTGTCCCCAGAGACACAGGGGTCTTATCCCTTTTGAAGTAAGTTCATTACTAGAAGTGGGGAGTGGGGAAGGACCTGCTTTTGTGTGTGCATTGTAAACCTCTGAATTCTGGGCTAGGATGACATGAAGCCAATGAATGAGAGATTATGTACACAAGGGTGTGACCTGTTTTATAACAAAAACTGCTCCTGACTCAGTTCATATGACTGGAGTTGGCTGCAGTGAACATTTCTGGAGGGCAGTGGCTTTTAACATTTTTGCTTTATTAAAAACTGAATATACTTTTCTCTCTCTTCAGGTTTTCTTAAGAGTCAGGCACATATGTATAAATTTAGTCTTACTCTTAGAAAGCAAATGTTTAGAACCAGACGTTCCTAACCTATGAATTTAAGAATTACTTAAAAGCAACATCAGGAAAAGTAGCTCTTTTTTTGTAAGTACTGTGTGATGAAGCAGACAGAAAGCTGATCTAGGTTGAAATACATTTTTGCAAAATTGCTTTTAAATGAGATTGATTTCCTTCTGCTCTCTGCCTGCTCCACTAATGCTGCAGAGAGGATGGCTGTTTCATGGGTTAATGAAAACCTTGTCAAACATTCTTGTATCTCTTCTGAAAATTACAATTAAAGTTGAAAGTTATTTTCTCCTCAATAGGTGATGCTGGTAAAATAAAATGGTAGAAACATACTGTATCAATTATATTAAAATAACCTGCAACATCTACTACCTAAGCCTTTACTTTATGAAAGTTGTCTTTTAATCCTGAATCACCACAAACAGTTTCTTTTGCACTGTCCATGAAAGCTGAGATATGGGTGGTAATACATGTCAGCTGCATTCAGCTACTGTTTGGAGTCATTACAGTTACATAAGGAGTTTTATTTTCTGCTTCTAAATATGGATAATGACCATTTATACAAGTTTCCAAAGAGATAGCAACCCAGGAACAAAAATACTGTGTTGCTAGCAACAGATCTTGATCATCAGACTGTGTTGTCAGAGAAAAACCTGATGTACTTCTTTGTAATCTATGCTAGAGGTAAGGCATTAACTTCCTTTAAGAAGAAAATGAACCACAACTACTTTACTCTAGGATGGGAACTTGAATAGAGAGAGGGGAGATGGATGGGGTTTGTGATGCCTGTGTCTACTGTGGGACACAGGACCTGGCTTCAGCATTGCTTCCCACCAGTGGTGAAACCAAAATCCCACTTCATTTCCCCTAAATAAAACTGAAACATCCCTATAAAGCTTTGTGTCACTGGGAGGTATTCAAAAATGCTAAACTTAGTCTTAGCCCAAGCATGTAACAAGATAAACTTGTGAGCAGTACCAGGGGAAAAAAATCTTAAGTCTCTGGCTTCTGCCCAGGAGGTCTGTAATCATGTAATTGGGATGAGCTAGGGTGATTCCTGTGTGGAAATATTGTATAACTATGGATATGGAAGAGGGTGGGTTCCTGAATTAGAACTGAGACTTCATAGGAAGACTATCAACACCACTTCCTACCCCAGGAAATAACAAAAGGAAGTGGAACCTCTTTCCCATAGCTCTTTCTGCTGATAGCTCAGGCAACTTGGAAAGTCTGAAAAACTTTAATAATTGTTAAGATTTGATTCATGGTTGTCTAGTTTTGAATTACTTCTACCAAATGTATGAGTACCAGAGCTTTTACTTACCAAGTTAATTTGCCCAGAACCTAAGCACACCTTACCTCTCCTGGGCTCTTACCCAGTGGTAGATTTCTGTGTTCTGAAAGGCCAGTTCTAAACCATTCACAGCTGAACTGTTAGAATATCTTGCTTGTATTCTGATTTCCTACCCTAACTTTTCAGCTGAAGATATATGCAGGAATTATGGTAACTACACAGACCTCTACTTAAAATGCATGTCTTCTAAAGTAACTTTTCTTATTACTTCCTGTAATAACTAAAAAGTTGCTGGTATTACTGTTGCTTCTTTTGCCATTGAATCTTCCACGGCCTTTCTAAGTATCATTTCAGGAAACAATGTCATTGCCAGAGAAATCTGTTATCTTGTTTTGTGCTGTTCACAAACCATGGTTTTCTCAAGCATCTTGGGCATCTCTTTTTTTACTTCAGAACTGAGTTCACATCTGAAATTAGAAATTATCATGTATGCTGTAAAAACTGCACTGAATAGGCAGGTCTGTGATTTCAGGTAATTCTTTGATATACTCTCTCATTCAGGTTAAAGTTCTGCCTGGGTCCCTTCCTCCTTTGAGAGGATACAGGTCATTGTTCTCTAGCGATACTAAATCTTTTTAGACACTTTTTCTAGACTGTTTAAAAGGTATAATGGAGGCTTATAGGTTACTTTTGAATCCTTAGGAGAATTAAATAAGATTGGAGTCATGATACAGACTCATGAAAATTTATTCTCTTTATGCTCTTTCCTCATCTCTGACTTGCAAAAACAGAAGAAACCTCATTCCTTTTTGCTGTCTGTGATGCTCTTCTCAGGATTTACTAAATATAATATGTATTCTTTAGATACAGAACAATTTAAAAATAAGTACATAACACAAAGTAACATCAGACTTTTCATTTTGTTTACTGCAGGGAAAATATTTATCCCCAAGCAAAAACCTGTACAGTCTTTTGCAGAAGAAAAATTCTCTCTTGATCCAGAACTGGAGGAAGCCTTGACCAGTGCCACAGACACAGAATTAGGTGACCTTGCAGGTTAGTTTTTTTTGAAGTATGAATGGGCCAGTGCATCTTTAGACAAGAAAGATCTATAATCAATGTGGTAGTGTATTTATCTGACCTCAGGAAGTTGTAGTTGTGATAGAAACTATATCATGTTATATGCCAACTTCCTTGTAGCGTTTCAACTTTGGTGATTTGTGATAATTTATAGGAAGGTAAATTATTTTGGCCTGCAAAAGATACCTGATTTTCAAACTCAAAACCTTTAAATCCATTCCTGAGACTTCCTGGGTTTTGTTGTGTAGGTGACTGCTTTTTCTTGTGTATAAGAATGTGTTGTTTTGTACCTGTGTTCCTAAAGCTTCATTTTGTGACTGAATAGCACTTTTAACTTTGAAGCTGGAACCTGATGAGGTCAAATTTTTCTAAGATATGGAAGCCAACTAAAAAGTCTATAATTAATTTTTTTTCTACTTTTTAAAATTATTAAGGTATTGAATGGCTTCTTGCACTGTTAACTGGATGTTGTACGGACATCAGTTTTTGTTATTTAAAGGAACCTTCATCTGAGCTGAATTAGTCAGGAACAATAAAAATGCTTTTTTGCTGTTTCTCTTTTTCCTTTTACAGCTATACTGGGAATGTCCAACTTGATAACAAACAATCAGTTCTGTGATGTAGTAGGAAGCAGTAATGGGATTGACAAAGACAGCTTCTCAAGTAAGTGTTTGTATGCAAGTGCTGGAAAAATTAATTCTTTGTACTGCACGCAGTTACTATTGCATTAACTATTTTCTGTTGCACCAACATTCTTTTAGACTCTTTAGTCTTAGTCTGGAAATGTGTATGTCTATAACATTTTCTAATTGAGTTCTGGAATTACAATATACGTACACTAAACTGCAGTTAAGTCACTTTTTGGTGACAAAAGTAGGCATAAACATGCATTGTGTGTGTTGCTTTTTAGGTTTTATATTTGTGTTTGCAGTTCAACTTCTGTGTGCTTTCTGAAAAAAGCTGGTGTGCAATAAAAGCTGAAAGGCTGTAAAGACCTTTGGAAAAGGATTGAACTTTATGAAAGTATTTCAGGAGAGGATGGTGTGCTTTTTGTGTGGGGGAGAGATGTAAAGACTGATGAAATGATCTTTAAATACAGTAAATATTTAGTATATGTATCATTTATTCACAGTGAATGTATGCAACTTGTTTGATTACACTTAAATGCCTTACTTTTCAGATATAGTAAAAGGTGAAAAAATGTTGCCTGTTTTTGATGAACCACCAAATCCCACAAATGTGGAGGAGACGCTGCAAAGGATTAAAGATAATGATTCTCGTCTTGTTGAAGTTAATTTAAATAACATTAAGGTAATTACCTGAAGCCTGCAGTAAATATGCTGCTTTTTCTCAGTAGAAGACACTTTAAGCTGCAAAACTCTCTAAGAGAGCATGAGAGGCTTATTTTAAGTACAGCAGCCTTTTTGCTAAACGTTGCAATATGTATAAGCTCAGAAACCTGGAGCTAAACCGATAAGCCATCTTGGTTGCTTTTGCCAAATGTGGATTTAAAAAGTCTTAGACTTTCTTACTGCCAGCCCAGATTTCTGTTGCTGCCAAGTTGGCAGCAGTTCACTGTTGTGAACTACTTTTTTGAATCCTTTGTCCTTGATGGAGCAACATGCTCTCAGTTATTGCAGTTGCAAACAAAGTTATATTTGTACCTGACATGCTTCTGATTCTTGTACAAAAGAGCTGTTGGCCGTTAGGGCAGCTTCTGAGTGTAACAGTTGTGGTTTTAAATGTGACAAACTTTTGTATATTTGCTTGAAAGAAAACAGAACTGTAGCACTGCTGACTTACAGTGCAGACAGCAGTGACAGCCTTGTCAGCAGCCAAGGCTACTTGTTTCACTTACTAAAGGAAGAAAATAAAATACTTGGTTTAAGAATACTGTATTATACATAAATGCTAGCCAAAATAGCTGCCTAAAAAGGCAACAGATCAAAATTCCTGATATAATAAACTGAGAAATTTGCTACCCTAATTAATTATCTAAAATTATTCCTTTTAAGCTTGGTTGATACTACCCTGTAAAAATTATTGCTTTATAGAATTGGTGACCCTTGTAGGCATTGCATCTTTACTGTGAGACTGCTCAAGACCAGTGATAGTTAATATTATAGGACATTTTGCTGTAAAAAGAATAAGATAATGAAAGAAGCTGGGGGGGGGAAACTTACATATCTCAAGAGAGTAAAATGCTATTTTTAATTCAAGAACATACCAATTCCAACGCTGAAAGAATTTGCAAAAGCCTTAGAAACCAACACACATGTGAAGAATTTTAGCCTGGCAGCCACCCGAAGCAATGATCCTGTTGCTGTTGTAAGTATCTTGATAATGTGCTGAAGTGGGGTGCAAGGGAAGTTAGGATGGAAAGGCAGTGGTAAGGGATTGAATTTAATCCATTTTAAATGATGAGGGATGAAAATGATTACATTCTGTTACACTGTAAAGTATGTTTTCTTTAACAAACCTTTGTTGTGTCAAAGTTGGTAAATGGTTACAAGCAGACTAATATGCAGCAATGCATCACCTGTGAGATGAGTGAGAATTCTTGTTTCCAGTCCCTTCCCCCTGACTTTTCATTTTGCTAATCTTTCTTGTTTTTCTTTCTTTCATAATTGTTTAGTTCATTCCAGTAGCCAATAGTGTATTCAAAATTAATTTGCAAGAAGCACATTAGAGAACTGAAAAAGCTCATAATATTTTTTAGGTAACTAGAGTTTTAGTTGAAGAAAATTGTAAAATACTTGTTTCTGTGATCTCCCTGCTACCAAAGATTTGCTTAAAGCATTGGTATATGCAGCATAATATTAGTCAAAGTATCTAGTTTGATACAGTTTAAACTAATTTATCATCAGGTCTTGGTTTTTTCTATGTTGAATCAAAAGCAGTGCCTTATTTATTTGCAAAGAAAGAGGTAAGAAAACAAAACTAATTGTTTTGACAGAACAATCCTTTGCATTTGTTTTAATTTCAAATTAAAAAGGAATCTAGTTTGAAAGACAGCATTAAATAAGCAAATGAACATTTGAAAGCTTTGGTTTTGGGTCAATTAAAAAGTTCTTTTCAACAGGAGTGAAACAGAATGTAATAAAAATCTATAAATGCTTCTTTTTTTGGGTGTGGTTTTTGTTGGGTTTCTTTGCATTGTGACTGGATAGAAAAAAATGTACAGGGTATGATTTTTATGACAGTAAGCCTCAGCAGTCAGCTATTCTTGTTTTCTTCCTTTCTCAGAAGTAGGGTCAGGTATATTTCCATAAAAGTGCTTTTAGCTACATGCTGGTACTGTGCTTAGAGCTTTGAATTTTACCTCTTCCTACCAAATCTGTAGGCACAAGCATTCTGAAAGTCAGATCTCCTGTTTACAAATTAACCATATCCAGTTCTTTCAGCTAACTAACGCCCTCTCTTTGGCCTTCACTTAACAGCTTGCATTACTCATTGTAGGCTGTGAAGGCTTACAAAATGGAATTGGTCCAATATGCTAATTTCAGACAATTTATATTCTGTGTAGCTTTTTAGTTTGTAACAAGAGAAAGACAGGCCTTTTCTTGACTCAATACTATTTAAAAAGGAAATGTAGATAATTGAATGGTTGAAGATTAGATGGTTGAAGATTCAGTTCAGTCTCAAGTGAAAGCTTGGAAAGTTACACCATGTACTGATGAACTTGTTGCTCCTATGGAAATGATTATTTCTATGTCTGTGATGTACTGTAGCAAAATTCAAAAGTTTAATGATACTTTCTTACATTCAAAGGCTCTTGCAGAAATGTTGAGAGTAAACACAAAATTGAAAAGTTTAAACATAGAATCAAACTTCATCACTGGAGTTGGAATTCTGGCACTAGTTGATGCACTGAAAGACAATGAAACGTTGACAGAGATCAAAATTGATAATCAGGTAAGTGAGGTGGTGGTGGTGATATCAAAGCTAAAACCAGCCAGTCCTAGTTGACTGAATATTTTTGGAAGACAGCTTGTGATAAACTTTTCAAAATATTTTATGTTTAATATCTTAACACCCTCCATAATTGCCCTTAAGATTCTCGGAAGCACACAGCTGAAGTTGATTCCAGGTCACTTCTGTGCTTCCTGGTGCTTTGAAGTGCACAAACATATTTTGTGACCTTCTGCCTATTCAATTAATCATAATGAAGCTGAGTGTTTATTGACTGATTTGGTTAAAGTATTCTGATCTCTTTTAGAATGAACACATATAAGCTCTGTTGTCTTTGTGTACCTTTTATTTTAACAGAGGCAGCAGCTGGGCACACTTGCAGAAGTAGAAATTGCCAAAATGCTTGAAGAAAACACCAAGATCCTCAAATTCGGATACCATTTCACACAACAGGGACCTCGAGCCAGGGCAGCTGCAGCTATCACAAAAAATAATGATTTGGGTAAGACCTGTCAGTAGAGACTGACTATTAACTGAATGTGTGTGTGGCACAGGCTTTAAAGGTGTCTGGTTATTCTGCTTCTCCCTTGACAAAACCAGGATAGCACAATGTTAGATCAGTTTAAGGTTTCTCCTGTGCTGTACTCCTACTCTTTTATTGCTGCTTGATGTTCTCTGTTTTGCTGCAGGGTGTTCAGGTATATGAGTTGAGGGTCTTTAACATAGTCTAGAACAAGAACATTCAAATTCCATGTGAGTTGTGGCAAAAGGAGTGAAAATAATAGTTTTGATTGTTCAGTTTTATTCAGATGAGATCCACTGCTTCTTTAAAAGCAATACTGGAAATGAACAGTGTAGGATGCCCTGTTGAATGCCAGTACATCCTGTCACGTGCAGAGGCTGGCACTGGGTCATCTCTTCTGGTCATGCACAAGTACCATCCCTGCCTCTCGAGCTGGTAGCAGTGGCATCTTTATTTGCTGCAGTCAGTTTTGTTGGAGCTCATCTGTTAGAATCCTAACTAAATGGATCAGCAGAAAATCGGTTAATAATGTAGCACATGAATGGAAATCGTTTGTATAATGTCAAATACTTGTAGTACTCCACTGCAAGATAATGTGGTCCATCTGTTTAAATAGAATTGCATTTTAAAACTCTATTTAATTAAATCTTCTGTCTTTAGGTGCTTTGTGGTAAAGATTATACGTCTCATCAGCATGAAAATGGGCCAGGCAGTTTAGTAGCAGTAGCAGTAGTTCAGGAATATATTAGAGGGAATGACATAGGAAATTGGAATTTGGTTTAAAGATCTGCTTCCCCTCTGAGTAAAGGTTAAAGTTGAGGAGAACAGCTCTGAAAGATATGGAGGAGGAGTAACTAGAAAAGAGCACAGAGAGAGAAGAAAGGCATTCAGACACTCTATAACTGTTTCTCAAAATAGATTCTAAACCAGTTATTTGTCATAATGCTTCAGGTGTCTTTTTACTTTCTAAGGTTTCTCTTCTCACTAGTTCTCTTGTTAGTGCTTGACTGTTGTAAATCTATTTTTCTATTGATATCTTGCCTTTTTTTCTTTGCTTTCTTAGTCAGGAGTATGTGAGTAAAAGTTTCTGCAAATACCTTTTCATCTCTCCAGCCGTGAAGCTACAGAGACAGGTCACTCTGAATACCCAGCTGGGTATTCAGCACTGAAACTCAGATGTTCCAAGTCTCTCATCTCTGTCTTTGTACGTTTCTTCCAAAAAAATAGTCTGCATCTACATCTTCTTTCTCTCTTGCTTACACTGTGTTGTACCACTTCCCTGTTCTTTGTCTGAAACTGCACCTGTTGCTTTTAACTGCATGATTGGAGAAGTCTAAGGTTCGAAATTCTTTCCTCTGTTCTTGCAATTTGATGAAAGCAGGTGTGAATAACTTCTGTCACCTACTTTCCAATGAGTGGCTTTGAGAACAGAATCACTTTCTTTGTATATAGATGTGCTTGCTAGACTTTTAAAAATAAAATGGAGATGGCCTATATAATTTGTAAGACCCGTAGCCTTGTTTATGTCTGCACAGAAAAGGAAAACGTAATTTGATAAGGTGAAAAAAAATAGCAAAAATAATACAAATATTTAGGAAAACTCCAGTCATTCAGTCTAATATAGCATGTGAGCTTTTAGTGATTTTATTCACAAATTTTTATTGCTCTTGCATTTTCTAACAATTAAATGTTTTATTAATAAATGGAATGTTTTAGGCTATTGAATGTAATATCTTCTCTGTGTGTATAAATTGTGTTAGATATACTGTGAAACTCTTGCACTGTTTCCTTTGAAGCCATATAAACTTAATTTAGCACTAGAAAACTGCAATGAAAAAAAAGAGTACTGGCTAAATCTGCTTACCAGACATAAGATGATTAATGTTTCCCACAAGTCTTTCCTTGCAAGTGTTTGCAACTGTTTGTGAATAAGGTAATAAGCCCTGCTGAAGCATAAGCTTGAAATGATGCATTGCACTAAGTGTTCAGTACCTTAAGTTGTACTGTGTGAAACCTCGGGTGGCAAATAAATGTTCATGTTGTAGAAATACAAAAAACAGTTACCATGATAAAATAGCAACACTTTTTTTTTTGTCTCTCTCTTGTTGCAGTTCGCAAGAGAAGGGTCGAAGGAGACAATTAGCAATCCTGCTGTCAAAACCCGGTGGAGTCATCACGGTCAGCACCGTGGGCTTTGGCAATCTGGGACTACATTGACCTGGCTTAGAAGGGAAAAGACTGGAAACCCCATTCCTTTAAAAGCAAAGCTATATAATCTGCTGGTATGCATCACGTTTTTCATGGAGACACAGTAACTGCACCAGTCTCTGTACCATGGTTTTTGACTGGGTTTTTTTTTTTAAGAACTTTTTTTGTATTTCAAGACTTCGGCTGAGCTTTCTACTTAAAATATAATTGCAAATCAATAGTATAATTGTCTGTAGTCAAAGAATGGGACATTTAAGGTCATTGAGAAGATAATGACCCAATTAAAATGTTTGTTAGAAAATCCGGGGGTGCTTATTTACGTGGAGGGGTGTGTCTATTCCTGAAAACAATGGGTTAGTGATAAGGGATTCTTCACCCAACAGCTGGACTCACTGTGTAGAGCTGTTCAGCTTTGTTCATATGCACTGAAGAGAAATCTTTCACAGCAATGTTATTTGTAATTCTACTGTTTTATTTTTTATTCGTTCTTGATACTGTGAGTAAGTTTAAAGACATCCCTTTAAGGCAAACCAAAATAAATGGGCTAAGGACTTCTCCCAAGAGATTAGAGGGACTCATACAAAAGACTTGCAAAAAAAAAAAATTAGGAGCCTTGCAAAATGACAGGTTTTTTTATTACACCTAAATCCTTTAAGTATTTTTCAGAAGTGTGTCTTGCTCTGTATCTAAACTGGATATATTTTTAGACTGATTTCATGTGTTCATCAACATTATTTAGTTTATATTCTTTGTTTAAAAATCTTTATCTACATTCACAAGTATCAATTTCTCTAGAAGTAGTGGACATGCATATTTTAAATTCTGCATAACTGTACAGGAGGAGCAACCTTAAGTGTAAAACCACTGACCTAAATTGCTGGCAAATGAAAAATCCTTTATTTGAAGCTGTTGTATTAAGCTATTTGTACTTCATATAAATCTATCATTTTTTAATACTGAAGTAACACTTTTGAGAAAGGATTTTTCTATTTTACTTATGTCTCGATGTTGGAACACTACCTAAGACATGCAAAAATTAATCAATCTGTAGTGTCAGATCTGTATGATGTAGTAATTATTAAAGTATTTAAAGTTGTTTAAGCGAACTAATAAGGCAACAAGAATCACTTCAACTTCTGCACATAATCACAATACACTTCTTTGAAATAATATAAAAACCTAGAGGCTTTTTGGTTAGGTCTGCTTGGACTGTCCTGTACTAGTTTGCTTTGAGGTCACAAAAATGTTCTAAAGGACTGCTTGGCTATATTTATAGCAACAGAGAATTCAACTGACAATTCTTTTCATTCAGAGATCTTAATGTGGTGAGCTTTTATGTATAGAAAATGTATTTACGTGGAGGGGACTGAGATGTTTGCATCAGTTTGTATATACCATAAGAACCTAACAGAGCAAGTCTCTGACACTGTGCCCACATTGTAATTTGCTGCAAATCTTGTTTTGGAACTTTAAAGACAGACTTTATTCCAGAGGTGACTTCGAATTTTACTGCAACAGTGAATATTAAACTATAGTGCCTTCAATGAGGATGTATATAATTGGTTTATACGTGTGGAAGAACTTTTTTTTTCCTATTTCAAAATCAGCCTTTTATTAGAATTACAAATAAATATGTGCTCTTCAAAACAACTTGGAATTAATTCTCTTAAAACCAAAGACTATACTTACTATAACCTTGAAAAAACTAGGAGTGATCTGATGAGTAACAAAAAGGGCTTCTTTTGGGTTTAGCTTTCGTAAATTTCTGAGAACTTTATAGATTTTGTAATTTAAGTTCCTATACAGTGTGCATAAAGTCACATTTAAGTGTCTTTTTTTACAGGTAGTGCTGTATAAAGATGGCCAAAGCATGTCATGTGCTGAGTTGCCTAAAGCTGTACTTTACTTTTTATTTGCTATGCACCATAATCATTTTGTGTCAAAAAACAGGCTGTGATGTCTTCCTTCATTTGTTGAAGGGCTGCCATATTCAGAGAATCTGTTCACGTATTGTGATTCTATGATGACTTATTTTATCATTATCTAACAAGATTAGACAGTTATCTCCTACTTGAAAATTAAGGACAAAATTGAAAGGCTGGATTATGGAAATGATAGCCCAAATCCCTTCCTTACTTTTGTTAAATCAAGTTCAGCTGTTTAATTATTTACATCCTAATCAAAGGCAGGGGCTTTTAAGATGCAGGTGTCCTGTCACCGGCGATAGTAGTGGACCTTAATAATTGGTTTAGCTCTGTAGACAGCAGGTAAGAATTTGACTTTGTCAGCACTTTAAGGACAGGTATCTGACAGACTGGGCATAGAAAACTTTGTTGTTTTGGTATGGTGCATGGAACAAATAACAACAATCACTTTTGTGCCTGCAATGTGTATCCTGTTTGGAATAAATGAGGGAATTCAGTCTGTAGCCAGGAATCATAAACGGTCTCAACAAGTCAAGTGGACGCTCTGATGTCGTGCTGTAGGTGTGGTGAGATCCTGTGTATGACTTCATTGATTCTGAGTGAGAGAGTGGTATTGCTTTGATAACCACTTACCAGAGACACAAGGTCTTTTTTCTAAGAGATGATTTTTTTTTCATATGGATTGTTTTTCAGCCTAAATGAAGAAGTCAAATGACTGCATATATTGATTCTGTTGGTTCCCAGCTAAGCATGGAAACATAGCCTATAATTCAAAGCAATTATCTATTACTGTTGTATTTTAAAGAAATAGCCTCATTCTCTCTACAGCTTGAGTAATCTTGTGTTTGTAAGCTACAAACAAGCAAGTGTTCAATTTAAATTTCCATTGAGGAAACATGCATTGAGTTTTTTAGCCTATCAGCACTATATGCTGTCAGATTGTAAACCAGTAAACGCTGTGGATGATTAAAGTACTGTATTCTTGTTGTGGTTTGGGGGGTTTGTTTGTTTGCTTTTTTCAATAGTACACTGACTTGCTCGAAACTGACCCATGTGTTTATGTTGTGTCAAAGCAACACCTGTCCTTCTCCAGAAGGAAAGTGAGTGGAGTGACGGCGGTGGAATGAAGGGCTGGTGCTGTGGAGCGGGGTTTCACTCCGCACAAGCGGGCCCTGAGGGGTGCGGCGGGGCGTGAGGCTGCTTTGTGCAGCTGTGGTTCAGCCGCACCGGGCGGTGCAGGGAGGAGGTGGAGACGGGCAAACAGGATCCCTTTCTTTGAGCCTGGGCGAGTTCTCGCCTCCCTCAGGCGCCGGAGCCCACACGGACACGGCCCCTTTAAGAGGCGGCGCCCTCAGCCCGGGGGCGGGGCCGCGCTCGCGGCGCTCGCCGTCGACGTGACGTGCCGCGCGCGCCGCGGGGCCGCGCTGCCGCCATGGCCGACATGGCGGATCTGTTCGGCAGCGACGCCGACTCGGAGCCCGAGCACAAAGGTGCGGGTTTGTCGCCTCCCTGTCATCCCTCCATCCCGCACGGGTGGGCCGCGCCGCCCGCCCGCCCCGTATCGTCCCTCTCGCATCACCCGGGCTCGGGCGGGAGGGAGGCAGCGGCCCGCGGGAGGAGCGGAGCCGCGGGCCGAGGGGTCGGTGCCTGCAGGGGAGGGAATGAGGGAGCATTTCCTGGCTTCAGTCCTTAGCGTGTTTTCAAAGAACTTTTCTCCATTCTTGTAAATGGCTTTTGGAGGCGGATATTCTTTTATTTTCCTGCTCGAAACGGCGTTCACCAGCCTCAGCATTGACGAGTAGCTCCAATGGCACAAACGTGCCCGGCTATATGATTTAGGTTAAACACATGGTGACTTTTGAATTTGTAGGATATTGTAAGCCACGTACATGTAGTTACTTGTTTAAACCTTCGGTATTTTATTAATCTTATTTACTTTTGTGTACTTCCTTATTCCTTCTACAATTTTGGAATCTTAGATCATAGCTCATGGCTTGAACTTCATGTGGCATCATTTTTTATTGTGTCTTTCTTCGGCTGTGCCTTTGTTAGCAGACATTTTATTTTACTCTACTTGGTAACTTTTGTCAGTCCTTCTTACAGTTCTCTGTGGGTTCTCTCTCTGGGGTTTGGGTTGGTTTTGAGGGGGGGGTTTAGTGTTAAGCAATGCCCATCATCTTATGTGCATCCTTGTAGGGACATCTTGACTTTTGAAAGGGTGATGTTTGTTTTGCAGATTCTGATTCTGGATCTGATTCAGATTCCGACCAGGAAAACGCTGGTTCTGGTAGCAACGCCTCTGGAAGCGACAGCGACCAGGACGATGACAGGGAGGCAGTAAAACCCAGTAATAAGGAGCTATTTGGAGATGACAGCGAGGATGAAGGAGCATCCCATCACTCAGGCAGCGACAACCACTCCGAAAGGTCCTACAATCGCTCTGAGGCCTCGGGGCACTCTGAGCACGAGGACAATGAGCAGTCGGACGGGGACCAGCACAGCGCCTCAGAAGCTGCTCATGAGGACGACGAGGACGATCGTGATCACGGCTCAGATGAAGGCAGTCACCACTCAGAGGGAGATGGTTCCGAAAAAGCACATTCTGAGGACGAGAAGTGGGGCAAGGAGGACAAAAGTGATCAGTCGGATGATGAGGAGAGGCAGCAGAACTCTGATGATGAGGAGAGACAGCAGAACTCTGACGATGAGGAGAAAGCGCAGAACTCGGATGAGGATGAAAGACCACAGGTGTCTGATGACGAGGAAAGACTCCAGAACTCGGATGAGGAGAAAATGCAGAACTCAGATGATGAGGAGAGGCCACAGGCCTCGGACGAGGAGAAGATGCAGAACTCAGATGACGATGAAAGGGCCCAGCGTTCTGACGAGGAGAAGATGCAGAACTCTGATGATGAGGAAAGGGCCCAGCACTCTGATGAGGAGGAGCAAGAGCACAAATCCGGTAGGACTGAGTACAGAAGTAATGATTTGCTGCTGGTTTGGTCTCTATTGTTTTGTTTACGTTGGCCTGAAAAGATTCAAACTTCAGTGTAAAGGCGTTATTTGTGTAGCTTTCGACTGTAGTCATCTTTGTAATGCTTTTCTTATGCAGCACTTTTAAAATGCCTTTTCATCTGAATCAGCTTATTAATACAAAGGCATTTTAAAATTTGTGGAGCAAAGTTTTTAATTTGCTGAGAATAATTATGCTCCTTGGTAGAGTCTGCAAGGGGCAGCGACAGCGAAGATGAAGTTCTGCGAATGAAGCGAAAGAAACCAATTGCATCGGATTCAGAAGTGGAGAGTGATACAGAAGGGCAGAAAGGTAAATTGTGTTGTTGTTCTGTGTGGGGTTGATTCCTTTAATCATCATCTTGAGGTGCCATTCATCTGCTCCAGGATAGAATTAGTAGCACTTGCTGTACATGTGACTGTAGTGCCATGGAAATAATGAAACAGCGGGAATTCTGTGGGGAGATACATGCTGTGCTTCTGATTCTCTCTGGTTAGTTCTGTCAGCTTTTCAGCTTCCTCCATGAACTTTTCTTCTGTGAATGTTCTTTCATATGTTTTTATTGAAAGATGTTAAGAAATGGTTCCTTTAATCAGAGCAGCCCAGGGAACCTGTACTGGTTTTTGTGATGGGTTAGCTGGCTTGAGAAAGAAGTGTTGATTTTCTGAGAAGTAAAACCTCCAAAATGTGTAATGAAATTGCTGTTACTTATATTCAAGTTACTTGAATAAGGATTATCTTATATTTTTCTGTTGCTGTTTTTCAACTAGATTCCCTTATTTGATGGAGCCTTTCCAGGAAAACATACCTTGAATCCTTAGCTTAAAAATACACAGAAAAACTGTTTTTTAGGATAAGGGAATAATGTAGGCTTCATAAACATTTGAAATTTTTAACCTCTGTAGGTGATTTTAAGTGTTAATAACAGTGAGGGATTTGTTAACCTTTTTTTTCTGTGAGTGTTCTTGCCCTTAGGGCTGTGTGTGCACATATATGTGTGTTTTAAAATAGCAATTTTTCTGCTCAAGAGCATGCAGATGTCATGGATCTGTTTGGAGGTGCAGATGACATTTCCTCAGGGAGTGATGGAGAAGACAAACCACCGACCCCAGGACAGCCCATTGTGAGTAGACTTGACTTTTGAGATAATGGACACACCATTCCACTCTGAAATAGAGTTTGATAATATTTGAGTGAAAAAGAGTAATGACATTAAGTAAGCATAACAGATAATTTTGTCCCAGCTGAAAGAATTATTAAAGTTTTATACATAACTATCATATGAATTCATTTGTTTGCCTTCCCCCATCCCTGCTCTGCTTTTTGAATAGTTTGATTGACATAACATACAAAGCCATAGCTGTCTTTGGCACTTTATTACAGCTATTTGAAAAATATTTTTATTTTGATGATAAATTTTCATCTCTTGTTGATAATACAGAAAAATATCCTTTTTTAATCTGGGAGTTGTTGCCAGTGCTTAACTGAAAACTGTAGATCAGCTTCTGTGCTGTTCTTTACTGTCTGTCTCTGGAGTTTGCACTGGTATTTGAAGTCACTTTAAGTGGCACATGAAAATGCTGAATTGAATTGCTTTCAATGAAAATGTGTGAGTTCTTTTTTACCCCATCTCTCTCTGTGCATGTGGATGACATTTCTTTAAGGAAAATGTATTTATTAGAGCAGCAGTAACCAGATAGATTTCTTTTCACTTATGCTCCTATTCTCCATTTTTTCGTTAGGATGAGAATGGACTGAGTCAAGAACAGCAGGAAGAAGAGCCTATTCCAGAGACCAGAATAGAGGTAGAAATACCAAAAGTGAACACAGACTTGGGTAATGATTTATATTTTGTGAAGCTCCCCAACTTCCTCAGTGTGGAGCCCAGGTAATTGCACGTTAAATACATAACTGATAAGGTTTTTTTGGTGTTTCCCTGTATTGCTCTTATTTAGTAATACAACTAAATGCATTTGCCCTGTTTAAAGTGGTTGACATTAAGATGAAAACTTGTGGCTGTGATTAATCAATTGTAATATCTGTTGTTATGTAATCAGGTGCTGAGTAATTTTGAGCTTGTGTTTCAGCTTGACTGAATAACTTGTCTGTAAAAAGCAAAAATGTGATTTAATTGAAATCCCATGCTATTGGTTCAATTTTAAACACAGGTTCAGGCTCTCGGGGATGTGAAAGGCAAATGCACAGGATCTTTATGCACTTATGAATGATTAAAAACCACATTTTGAATTTTAGAAGAAGGCCTTTTTTATCTGTATATGCTAAATATACTGCTTTACTGTGAAGAGGCTGGTTACTCCTTTTCATGTTTACCTAACCCAAACTGAAGACATTGCTGGAATTCATATGTGAAACAAAGTAATTGGAGTTTGTGATGTTAGGCCCTACAGGCCTGGTTCAGCACTTGTAGCAAATTGCTGTTAAATGTCTCTTTGAGTGTTTTGTTAAGCAGCTTTATTGGAAGTTCAGTAGGTGCCCTGTTAGGTGGCAGCACAGCCTTGTTTCTGTCATAGCTCAGTGAAACCATCCTTTCTGGCCTCTGGCTCTAGGCTGCTTCCAGAGAGAAATGTTAAGAATCCCGTTTGTGGCTGTAATCACTGAGATAAGTCCTGGTGATCACTGGGGGTCAGACAGGACTGGAAATAGAATTGCACTGTAGCAGAGTCTATTTATCACTTTTTTTTCCCTTGCAGCAGCCTGGAAATTATTAGGAAGGAGGTTAGGGAAAGTGTTCCCCCACCCACTCCCATCCCAGTCATCAGAGAGGAAAAACAATCTCATCTTCCTTTCTCTTTGGCTGGTTTTGAGGTTGAAATTAAAAAAAATACGAAGATTGTGCTCTTAGAAAATTTCCAATTCACCTCATTTATAAGATGATTTTTTTTTTCATTTTATTCTCTGTACAATATATGTATTTTGTTCCAGACTTAACCCTCGCCCCATCATCCTGATACTAAAGAAAC